TTTTTTTTTTTTCTGATGCAACCAACACCCAGAATATTGATCTCCGTTAGTGTCAATCTACCAATGTAAACAAACATGCTCATTATCAGCATTTTAGAAGAGAATAACACAAACAACTAGCAGATTTTATAGAAGAAAATGTGAAATGTTCAAGTAAAATATGTTTATAGATAGCTCACCTTCCGTTTAAGAGGTTCAGATGGCTTTATCACGGGCCTAAAAAATGACTCCAACCTGAGATCATGCATAGCATTTCAGTAGAAATAACAAATCCTCTCAAAAACAATACAAAATTATACTTACCTCCCTTGGCTGCCTTTATCCTTCGCTGCTTTAATCTTTTCTATAGCCTGAGAGAGATGTATGAAAGGTAACCATGTAAATGGTAGAAATATGCTGAAAAAGAATTTGGTCAAGTGCTTGGATGAAAGAAATTACAAACCTTGCTAACACGGTCATGATTGAAACCATTTTCGTTCACCAAGAAAGCTACGAGTCCCTAAAAGAAAAATAAAACAGCTTGAAGAAATGTACAGAATTAAAATAATTATTAAGATTACAATAACAGTAGTTTGGGGATCATTTACATCTTCATCTGGAGCAGTCCATTTCAGTTCTGGTATTTCCGAGATCACTACAGGTTCTTTAAAGAGCTGACGAGCTTCTTGATACGGCCAATCCTCAGGTATATGATACCTATTTCAAGTTAGCAATAGATGGTTAAGTGAATTTTCAGTTTAAAAATGAAAAAAAAGGCCCCATGAGATGTTACAACTGCATCATCTTAACACTGGCAGTCAAGTACATGACAAATAGTTAATTTATTATGTTCATTAGTGAGGCATCCACTCCACATATGAACTTAGGGGCATTAAGCCTAAACTTATGAGCGTTAAGGCTGATACAGGAAGAAAAATAAATAAATATAGATATCAAACTCCAATCAAGGTTTAAAATTATGCATTTGGGTATTGGGGGCACTTTTGGTCTGTGTTGCAAGTTGTAAGTCTCGAAGCATTTTGAGACATAAGCCCCAAAATTAACAAATTGTACCATACAAAAAGTATTGTATTAAAAAATATAGTAAGAAAAACATATTAAAATCTTAATAAATTAAAATCTAACATTTTAACATCTTAAAATGATAAAATTAATAAATTGCACAAAAATAGGAAGTTCAAAGTACGAAGCAATATATTAGCATTCAAACATCAAACCATAAAATAAAAAGAATTATACAACCATCAAAATAAAACATAATAACATAATTCAAAGTAAATTTAATACAATTAGTTACTTTGTTAATATAATTCATCACAATAAGAACATAACAAGTAACTAAAATTAGAATTTCTAAATTCAAAAATCATCATCACTCTTATCACTTAATGGGTTTTTCTTAAAATCATCAACATAACAATTAACTTTCTCCTTCACCCCATCCTTGATAGTATTTGTGTTCTCTCATTACTTCTCATCTTAAATCTCAATCATCTTTCTGTTATTTAATCAATATTGCTGAGCTCCACATCTGCTCCGTTTGACGAAAACAGTGAATATCAAGTGCAACAACAAACTGTTAAGAGCTTACTGATCGCAATCAACATCAAAGCCACCCAAACAATGCTTGATCATAAAATAAACTGTGCGAGCGAATTCAACAAGTCAAAATTGGCTAAGAAGGATTCTTCTACAATCAAAAGAAACAAACATGGTGAAATAGACAGGTTGTCAGCACGATAAACTATGTTTGAACTCAAATCAACTCGCCTGTCGTTAAAGTTTGCTCAAACAACCTTCGATTAAAAATGGACTACGCCAATGTGTCTAGAACATCAAATTTTCCTAAGTAAGACACTCATATTGCTAGATGTACATGCACAAGCTGAGATGAAAATCGATGCACACAAAATATAAAAAATAAAGAATATACAAAACCCACCCATTTCTTCGCACTTCTCAGCGAAGCCCCTCTCAAAGGTATGATGCTCATCAAGAAGATGCAACCAAAAAAAAAAAAAAAAAGATAAAAACAGAATAATATATATATTATATAACTAACCTATACTACCATGCTTCTCCCCTCTCCATAACATAGCGAGAAATCAAGCCCCATACAGTTTCCCCATCTCTTCTCCGCAACCTCTTGCCTCAACATCAGGCGTAGCAGCTCTACCTCTCTCGTCTGATTTCTCTGCCGGAAAACCCACTCTCAGCTTGCTGCACCTTCCCATCTCAAGCTCGCCTCAACCATTCTATCACTTTGCCACAGCACAGCAAGCCCTCACGCTGCTCCTCCCTCTTCCTCACTTCCTTCAAATGAGCCATACGAAAGCCACAACTCCTGCTCCTCCTGCTGGCAGCAAACCCAAACAGCAGCCACTTCGACTTTTCCTCTCACACACAGCAGCTCTCAGGTGCTCCTCTCTTCTCCTTTCTCAGTGTGGCACACCCCTCGCAGCAGCAAACTCCAGTGTCTCACACCCAACTCCTGGCCGAAGCTCCTCATAGTGGCCATGTGGATCCTCTCACCTAGCTCCCTTCGGCTCCTTCTGTAATCCCACCTTTCCAGTGACCTTGATAGCAAATTTTAGGTGGAATGTTGGCAATGGAAGCTGCTCATGCTGCTCTTAAAGAAGGCATAACATTGCTTGAAGTTATGATGTTCGCTCCAAATGTATGAATGCTGATACAACGACTTCTACAGGAAAATCCCTAATCAGTAATAGGGCTGGAGCAGTTTTAAATGTTGATAATGCAAGAGAAGAGATGAATGCTGGTGCCAAGTTTCTTACGAATCCTACCGCTGTCATGGAAATCTTACATGAAGTTGAAGGTACTGGAATTCTCTACGTACCAGGGGGTAAGGGTAATGACACCGACAGAAGTCTTATGTGGATATGAAACTGGTGCAAAAATTGTCAAAGGCATCTCATTAGAATTTAATGATTCTAAAGAAAATCGTTCTTCTGCGCATGAAAGTACAGATGAACAGCATGTGAATATAAAGAATAATGAATGGCCCTAGCTTTCTCTTCAGCCTAAAAAATGAACAAGATGAAGGAAGGTGTTCTTTGGTTGATGATGATGATAGTGAAGGCACCTGTGGAGGGTAGGGATATCTCCAATCAAGCAATTTTGGCAATGAGCTTTAGCAGCTCAACCACTTCAGGTTGAATATCTCCCTGATGGCGAAGGGCCTGACAAGAATGAATGGCTGAAGAAAATTAAAAATCGGTCATTGAAGGTAGCAACTCTACTTGAGCCTGATACTAGTAAAGGAGGTGGTATGGATCCTAGTGGCCACGTGAAGGTCGTGTGTGGCTTGCGGGTCTCGCAATGAAAGAAAGATAATAAAAAGAGTAGTTTTGTAAAAAGAATGCTGCTAGTCGTCGAATGCCAGGGTGGAGAAACTGTCTTCTAATCTTGGGAAGCTCTTGAATAACAGTGGGTAAAAAATTTGTTGTCGAGTTTTGATACATTGTTGCAACAGGATCGCCGCTTCATCATTGGTGCCTCGCCTTGCACAAAAGGTATAGCACGGGATACAATTAAGTATGTGTTCTCGTTATTTCCATGAGTCAAGAAAACTTGCTTGATATAAGTACTTTTCTTTTAATGGGTCTATTATAAATACTTGTCCCATTGTTTCGACAGGGCAGAGAAATCCTACTTTAAGTACCGGTTCGGGTTGTTCCAATTCAATAGAGAAACTCTGCTATAAATATATGTTCAAGTTGTCCAACCTGGGGCTTCATGAATCCCACTTTGGTCAGTCTAATCCTCCTCCAAATAGGAATTAGAGTTGACAAAATTGAGCCTTCAATGAGTCATTTTGATCTTCCAAATTACGACCAGAGTTGACAAGATTGAGCTTAAAAGATATTAGTCTGGTCCTCCTCATGAGGAATGGAGTCGACGGTAATATTGTTTTTAATGATATTTAAATCACAATAATTCCTTAATGATAGGCATATTCATTGCACATCCTAATTGAAAGGCATCTATTTATTAAAAAAAAACTTTAAATCATAAAATTTATAAAAAATTCAAATAAAATTAATCACTCAATGCTTACAGTAAAATTCATCCAACCTTTGGCAATCATTTGTAAGGATTAACAAATTCAATATTGATTTAATCTCACAAAGAGCTAATGTCATATTAAGAATATGACAAAGTTCAAATTAAAAACAATCATGTGTCAGTAAAGATGTGGCTCGAATCCTCTGTCCGTATGGTTTGGCCATTAAGCTTTCTGACCGGGTGGCTTGGCCAATAAGCTCCATGAAGTGGTTTGACTGCTAGACTTCATAATAAAACAGTCACGACTATAGCTAGTATGTTCCCCAATGACAATTTCTTCTTTTGATTTATGAATCATAGAATATACTTGATAAAGCACGAAGTCCTCTCTAAGTTAAGGTCAACTTAGATTAATCCCCTTGGACAAATAATCACCCCATGTCTGTCCACAAGGTTTCTTTGGACGAAGCAATTCATTGTTGCTGAAAAGAACAACTCTATTAGGTTATTTCAACTATCTCCTCCAACAAAATAGACTAAGAACCATAACAACCAAAGAGGATAAAACTATGAGATCCTGAACGAGTTCGTTAATATTTCCCCCACCATCGGATTTAAGCTCACGGAGATAATTTCATAATTTTAAAATCCTAAATTTATATTAAGTACAAATATTTAGTGCCTAATGACTAGCCTTAATCGAAAGTGCTCCCCTGTTATCAAGAGAGATAACTAACCATAGGGTTTGCACCTATGAGAAACCTCGAACCTTAAATTTTAAATTCATCACAAAACGAGGGTGAAATCTCTGGGTAAAGTCTTATTTACTATCTCATTTGTCTTCTGAAATTTTGACTCGAAATCTCATAGTAAACTCCCTCATCCTTTTTTTTTTTTCATTTTGAAGGAGGTCGGGATGTTGGAACTTTCGGAGCCCACAAATATTAATTAAAGAAAATAATTCTTAGATTTTAAAATAATGACTCTATTGATAGCAACAACTTCAATTACATCCTCAAATATGTATTATATAGCCAACAAATATTTACTACAGTTGTTTTATGCACATTTTTTAAAACATACCCTAGATCTAATTGTTTATACCTCACTAGAAAAGAGGCAAGGCATTCCTTGAGGCAGGCCTCGCATTATGTGAGGCACAATCCCCATGTAATAGCCAATAAGACGTAAATCTCATTGCAATTTTTTTTTTAAAAAAAAAAGTTGAGACATTCTTCAAGATAGGCTTCAAATTGCACAATTTTAAACCACGAGTTCAATATTAAAGTTCATAGCCTGGTACAATGCAAAATATGCTAAATCAAAATCAAGCTGCAAGCGTTCAAATTCAACAGATGTCAGGAGAAATAAAGAGTTAGCCCATCATCAACAAAACTTAAACTGATGTTGCAAAAACCTGATGCAACAGGTTATTGTAGACAAATTATAATATATCTAAAAGGACAAGTACAACAAAAATATCACACAGAAATTGAAGCACTGCAGAATCAAATGATATATAGAGCAAAAAACATGGACTGTTGATGCTTTAACAAAATGAAGCTGTTGCTGAATGAAGAAGAGAACAATAACTAATTAAAGGGCAGGGTACAAAAAAAATTTCAAAAGACAAATCTACGAAGATGACATAAAATATATGCATAAAACAATCATTACATTGCAATCCATGATTTCAAAAATCAGACCTGCCATGATTACCATAAAAGAAAATCTAAATTGGAAAGTTTAATTATAATGTAAAGGCAAATGATTCAAAAATAAATTCAAATCATTTCCTTGTATGCACCTGTCTTTGCTCAAGTTCTCCAACACATTTTCAATAGATCCATGCTGACGAATAAGTTTCAATGCAGTCTGCCCACCGATACCTGCATAACAGCAAGTGCAATGCATAAAAATAAATAATCATGATGCATGTAATATAAAAACAGATTAGCATTTGAACCAATCATATTAAAAAATACATGGCTTGCATGTTTCAATAAAAAGTATTAAGCACCAAGCAGAAAGTTAGAATGACGAGATTGTCCAACCTTACAAATGAATCCTGGCAAATTTGTGGCAGCACTATAGACAGATATTTTATAGAAATAGTTAAATGATAAATTTCAAAAAAGGCGTCGCATGAAAAGTACTAATCTAGAAACCAAATGGCATTGATGGTATCAAGTAGGAAAAAATATTTTACAGCTGAAAAAAATCAGTTGCCAGCAGTATAGTACGATTGTAAATTATTTGAGCTTAAGAAAATTCCAGAGCTGTAAAATTTATCATAAATATAAACCAACTATATAATTTATTTATCAAATTTATAAGTTTCATGCTTAAATTTGAATTGAAGCATCCATAGCACATGGACGTTTGCAGAGTGATGAATATGATTATTGATTAACCTCTCAATTCAAAAATGAGAAGCAAAGAATGATATAACAAAGCAATCTTTAAAGACAGTGCTAGGTTGCAAAAATGTAGTTTATTAAACATAGTTTTAAGTAGCCATTAATTTAAGCAATTCTTGGTGAGATTGATATTCTAGAACATATCGATAAAACCTACATCAGAGAATGTAAAAATAGAAGCGCTTATCTCCATATTTGATTCATAAATTGCCCAATCTAACACAACGATACTGCAAGAAAAATATAACTTTACAAAAAAAAACCAAATTAGAATGTCCCAAATCCATCGCAAATCTAGCAAAAAAGATTGTCTCAACGCATTTAAAGTGCTAAACACTTTCGAAAACCTCCCAACTATACTCTTGAACTGCAGCATGAAGGAATGCGTACCTCGCACGAGAGATTAAAATTTTGTTCAGGTTTGCAGAAAGAGTAATAATAAGCGGCCTTTACCTGCATAATTCCTATGTATTCACATATAAAGCAGTTAAACTTCGAATTTTTATGTACAGACCATCCCATCCCTAGCTTTTGTCCATAGGTAGAATGCTCGGTATGCAAAAATCAAAATTTAGGCATTTGATATGTGAATCCATAGGAATTGGGTAGTACGCAGGTAAATATCCCTAATAATAATATGACATCATAAAAAAAATATATGTATATAATTTACACACATATGTATGTGTATGCGTGTGTACATACATATACGGATAAATATCTATACATACATATAATACTCATATATATACATACATATATGTAATATATTACATATATATACATATACATACATCAAATATATGGAGGTATGTATAACACATCACATAATCTTAAACTATTGTCATTTTCAACCTCAAACATCATTCCTTCAAATAAAGGATTCCAACAGGCAACTTCGCATGAGGTAAATCCGTTCTCAATTGGGGCTGATGCAAGAGAAAAACGGAGAAAAAGCCCTATATTTATGCATGTATCAAGGAAAAAGGAATGCATTTTGGCAAAAGAAAATTTCATCTTAAGAAACTGGATGGTAACATAACAATAGAACATCTTTATAATAATATTTTTTCACCTAAAAATGTTAAAAGTGTTAAAGAAGTGTAGAGGTACAACCAAAAAAAACTAATACAAACAAAAAAGAACTCTTTTTTTCATGCTTTCTTGTTCTCAGAGTCTCTATTTTGCATTTCCAAAAAAATAAGGTGTATTTACATGTATACCACCCAACTTTTATGTATTTACATATCTAACACCTAAACTTTACTTTTTTACATCAATACCACCTAAATCTTTCATATCACATCAAAAGTATCACTACTTTACCTTTTAAAAAGCGAAAAACACATTTTCATGCATAGATAAGGTGGTATGTACGTAAAATTAAAGTATAGGTGTTAGATATGTAAATACATAGGAATTGAGTGGAATGTATGTAAACCTTCCAAAAAAAAACAATTAGCAGGAAGCTTCTCATACATTTTCAACTCACTACCTTCTCGAAAGTGAGTTGGAAGTCAAGATACCTTTAATACTGTCACAATAGTCACATCCACAGAGAATGCATAAGTCAATAAATTGATCCATGGTGAAACCTAGCTCTAGTAGAACCTGGACGGCAAGCTTATTCAGAATAATGGAATTAGGTATAAGCACTAAGCCATCTATTATGTGTCAACAAACCTTTTCAACTTCAAATTCCATAACCGGGATCTTTTTAGAGCTTGGATCCATCAAATGACGAAGAAACCTTGGGGCTCCAAAAGTCAGTGAATCCATGTCTTCAGAAGCCACAGCATAAACCTAAACCCCAAAAAAATAATAAATAAAATCAAAATAATAAAAAAATCAGAAATGCCTATAAAAATGCATTACAGGAAAATGAAGGAAAGTCAACTGGCACCTTATCACTTTTGCAAAGAGCAGCGCATTGAGCCTCTGCTTCGCATGGTGCCTATAAGAAACAAAACAAAGTCAAATCTATGATAAAATTAGGTATTTTATGAGGTCATAACTGATAGTCCTGCATTCATGTTCATTCCTAAACACTGCAAGCTATATGTAATGGAAGTTCATTATCAGGTAACTGACAACCGTGAAGGAATATTTAGACTGAACTATTAATGGTTTACATTATCCTTAAAAAATAAAAGACCAGAAAATTACTTTTTTCTCACAGCACTGAAAGTTCCGTCCATTTTAGTTACAATTTTACATCACATAGATGCAAAATAATAACAAATGTGTGTGTCTGGAGAGAGAGAGAGAGAGAGAGAGATCACCTCAATTATAGGAACACCCATCAGTCTTAGGAGTTGTTTGCAATCCTCGTTATGTTGCTTTGTTACCTACGACAAAAGGAAAAAAAAAAGTAAGAAAATATTCAAACAAGTCATGATAGAAAACCAAGCATATTGAATAAGAGCCATAAATACAAAGGTATTTAATTACAGATATTAAAGAAAATAATTAGTAAAAAGAATAATAAAATAATAAAATAAATCCAGTTCAAAAAAATTATTTCCTGCTCAAAGAAGCTAACATTCATTTTGAAGATAACAATTGATCCCAATCATTATTAGAAACTATACCAACAACATTGTTGGATGTCATCCATACAAGATTATGCCATTGGGAGTACCAAATGTCATAAACAGGAGTTGGCATATACAACCTTCTCCTGCCATTCATTTAGAGAACATTATAAAGTTCAAAGAAAATATTTCTTGAAACCTATTCATATGCAGGTCCATACTGAGGCAAACATGTTTATGCAAGACCAGAATAGCAAAAAAAGAACATTGTTTCAAAAAATGTTCATAAAATGACAAGGCTTCAACTTTTTCAAATCTAAAAATTGAATACTATCAAGCATAATGTTAAAAAGGAAAGGTAAGATTTTGGCATTCCAAAATGACAGAAAAGTTTAATCATAATATAAAATCTCTTCCAACGAATTTAATTATTAGGCAAATTATATGGCATGGAGCAGAAGACTACCTTGACAGTTCTCTTGCTAAACTTTTCAATTTCTTCTTTATTGCCCTCCTGCATGACCAGAAAAGACATCCTAAATGAGGCTAAAGTGATAGAAAAAAATTACCCAAAGAATAACATGAGAGAGGCGAATGAATGAAAAATAACACATTCAGTAAGCAGTCAATTCTTGTTCAAATGTAAATATTCACCTCTACGGCAGTAGCTAAATCCTTAGTGGCATCATCCCTCCTTAAGTATCTACGGAAGAATCAACCAAAAAAAAGGGTTTAGTACACAACATATCTCACACCCAAACTTTCATATTTACATAAGCAGTACTTTGTTGCTTTAAATCTATGTATGAAAAGGTGTACTTCATTTTTAAAAAATGATAATTGTGTTCCTTTTTATGTGATATCGAAGATTTAAATAATATGTGTGTATATGAAAGTTTAGGTGAGAGATATGAAAGTTTAGGTGAGAGATATGTAAATACATATGAATTGTATGATATGTATGTAAATGCCACCAAAAAAAGAGAGAATTTTTCATTCCATCACATAAAGATTACAATAAACCTAAAATAGAAAAACCCAGGTCATACCTTTTGGCAAGCTCCTGCTTCTTTAAATCAGGTGGCTGACCATCAAACACGTACCTGATAAGTAACACACATAAAAAGTAAAAAATTAGATTTTGATATTGGAGAGGTTAAAAGGCATAAAAATTGAATAATGGAAGAAATCAATTGCTGTAATATAAATTGGGAAAGAGTG